ATTTCAAGTGCCAGAGCTATTGAGGATTCTCTCTTGTTTAGTTCAAAGAACCATTAAGGTTTGTAACAAAGACAGAAAACATTGTGATTAAATGCTTGAGACACAAATTTCCCTTACTTTTTGGGTGTACAAAGTAATGGTCACTGATTTTTAGGGGTTTATGGGTGGTCATTTTGTTTTTCAATTTTGAGGGTGAAGGAGCCATTTGCCATGTGGGCAAACAAAATTTTTTAATTTAGCACATTCAAATTGACCAAAATCAACCGTTTGCAAAATATTACCCCAAAATGCTTGATGTGGACCACATTTCTGAACAATGAACCAGACTATTACAATAAAACATTATCTTCTTACAGTTGCATTGCTACCGATACTTATTTACTGTACTTTCAATTTTTTACCATTGATATTAATTGTATGCTATGAAAAAGGTATTAACTAGAGAACATTTTGTAAAAATCACTTGTAAAGAACTGTGTTTTGCTGGAATATACCATTTGATATATCACTGGTGACATAAGTTTTGGAATTTAAAGACTAATATTTTAGTGACGATACTAGATTCTTTTGCAAGATAATATTTGAAACTTCCTTTCAAAAGGGTATTTTATTAACAATTGCATGACTTTTTCCCAAAGCACACTTTAAAAGAACTTAGTCACTCAGTGAGCTCATTACGTTGAAATCATAGGAGGATGGTAACAATGTTATAATATTTACATAGTGCTTGTAAGAACATTTCATCTTGAGTGTTGTAGACATTTTTTATAAATATTACAATAGCAACTTGTCTGTAAGAAAATCATTCAGTAAAAAAATGATACAGTCAGTAGAAAGGATGTCTCATAAGGAAACTAAATGGATTCAATACTGAGTGTACAGGGTGGAGCAAAACTGACCATGCCATTGTTTCATTTAGAACATTATTATATTTTGATTGTCTTAGTGATACTTTTTGTAGTACCATCTGTTTAGTAATTCTTTTGCCCTACCCAGTATAACACTAATTTGCTATAAAAAAAGTGACATTCCTCGAGGGGTTAATATTTTTTTTTCTTCCCTAAGTTTATAACGCATCCTTTATGGTTTTATAGTTGAACTGGAATAAATTCTTCTCCTGATGTTCCAGCAAACCTACATTTTCACCACAGAATTAAGAGAACTAGAGTAAATGCACCACTACAACTTTGTTAGTTTTACGTTAACTTGGGTCGTTCGTGGGCGTGTTGTATATATATATATATATATATATATATATTGGAAAAAAATGGGTAACACAAGACATGCTTTTGATGTGTTAACTATGTTTATTAAAAATTGTCCTGCATATACTTTGACATGTAGAACCAAAACATTACAAATTAACTATGCACTCTCAAATTACACAAAACAAAAGTAGGAATAAGGCGCCAAAGGCAATACAACTGTTTACTTGAGGGCTTCTAGAGATACCAATAGAAGTTTATCAATCAAAAGACTAGTTTTGGTGGAGAAAGCTCTTTAAACTCAACAATAGAATAACAGGTTCATATCATTACATAATTTCTATTTATTATGATGCCTCTGTGGATAAACGAGTGAAAATAACCCCAATATAGGTACCATTACGTGTTAAGAGTGATGAGGAAGGTACATGCATCTTAACCCTTTCAATTCATTACACATAAATCACCATCTTTTAATTAAATTAAAATAGTGTTTCGGTGTTTTATTAATCCTGCATGAAAAACAAGCATATCTTTATAAAGAATGCTGTTGTATCAACAAAATAATGTTATCCAGTACTTCTAGATTACAACCAAATGAAGAAACAATATACCATAATTTGTAATTCTTTTAACTTTATATATTCAACTGCCTATCTTACCTGTCATTGAGGTACATTATGTAATCATATTATTTCTCATAGTAACTGAAAGAGACAGGTTTAAAAATAATAATCCAGCAATGGTCGAACCTCTTTCAGTTAAAGTAGACAACAGCTGCAAGAAATATACTTTTACATCATGTGAGAATACCAACATTTTAATTATTGTTGATTAGTATTTAAATAGAAATGTTGTCTGTCTGTGAAACAGAGAATTTACAGGAAGGTAATATTTTGATGATGGTGCTTAAAATTATAATCTTGCATATTAAAAATCCGTAGGGGTGTGGTAATACCTATGAAAAAAGAAATGTACTTTCATGTTGTTTATTCATGAAAGGATCCATTCTCTATTGCAACTATATAAACCTGTCTATCAGAATATCTAGCCTAAAGTAGAGCAAACTGGATGACTTAAGATAAGCTGTACACTTTAGTATAGTGCAGTTATTACAATACCAAAAGAGAGGTTTTAATAAACTTGTAGGTAACAAGAGTTTATTTCTTTAACATGTTGTAAAGTGTATATATGCTGTTAGTTCCAAATCTAAAAGATTTTATTTCTACTAACTCTGCTATACACTACATAGTTTTCTTATTTCTCCCACTAACTTGAGTGTTGATGCATCATATTTTTTCCTATTTAATAGTGAGAATAGTAGAACTAGGGGACACAAATATAAATGTTAGCAGGGTAGAAGTCGTCTTCAGCTAAGAAAGTTTTATTTTTCTAACAGGGTGGTTGGCCTTCGGAATGGGTTGCCTTCAGATGTTGTGGAGGCAGTAAATTTAAGTGAGTTTAAGAGAAAGCTTCATAAGTATATGAATGATAAGGACTGATTTTAAGATTTTTTTTATTGATAGTTTTAATTTCGAGGATGGAAAAGTCGAGATGGACCAATAGATCCCATTTTATCCCAAAACATTGTTATGTTAAACCATAATCTTGCCTTCCTAAGAACACTTATTCTGAACTTGCAGGCTTAGTATGTGAGTTACTTTTGTAAGTTACTCATTGTTTAGTCCCTCTTACTGTGCAAAAAACTAGCTCTAAAAATATTTGATTCTGATTTTAGGATAATGGAGTATCTCTTAAATTATTATTATTGGTAACTGAATGTTTATTTGGTAATTCTCAAATTAGACAGAAAGATAAAACTGCAGGTAAAAGTAGTGTATACTGTCCCAATCATAAATTGAATACCTGTTGAAAATACCCAAATGTCTTATGCATTTTGTCAGCATCTTCAACTAGAATTAAATCTTTTATATTTTAAGTAAATAATAATATGAAATATTACTATTGTTTGAATTAAAAGACCACAGAGTTGGAATGGACAATTTGAAAAGCAGTTTTTTCCCCTGTATCTAAGATGGTTAAAGTAATTTCTGTAAAGCTAAAAATAGTAGTGGTATGAAAATCAGAACTTGGTAGTATTTATATCAAAGTTAACCACAAACCCTTCACATTGAAATCAACTTACTTACACAAAATAGTGTCTGATATGAAGTTTTCTATTTTGTATGAATGACGGAAACATATTTCTAGACACAATTACCTATTCAGTCTTTAGACTTAGCCAAGACACAACATAAAGTTTGTACCGTATTAGACAAACACTAGATATATTATGTCCATAGATCTTTAGGTAGATAACAGGTTTGGAGATTAAAATAAAATAATAATAATCCTTTTTAATCTGTTTATGGGAAGATGAATAGATACGTTACTTCCAACATGGGTGATTAGACCTAACCAATGATATTCAACAGATATTTAAAGTTGCATTTACCTTGGTAATCATCATCTGACCCTGTTGTTTAGTATCTTTCTTTTAATAGTATTTAAAATGAAGAATAGTTTATCACGATTATGACAAATACTTAGGGGAATTAAAAGTTTTTGATCACATGGAATTTTATAAATCAACTAATTCTTTTATTATTGAGCTTCACAAATGTTAGTAACAGCAGTATATTTATATTTTTCACACTTCTAAAGTAATGCTGAGCAACATGTAGTATGAACTTGTACCCAAACACCACCATGTATAAAATGAATGAAAATATACAATCCTGATAATTTTATATTTTAATTATAAAAGAAGGTAAATTCTTTGTGATAATACAGTGGTCCACTACTTCTTAGTTTTCTGGTTTTCTTAAAAATTATACAGCATAAATATGCTGTTTTTTTTAATAGTTGAACATCATAATCCAACTGTACCAATTACTATACAAAACCCTACAGAATTCTTTGGTTGACAAAAAAGTAATAATACAGAATGTGTAAAAATATTATAATTAATTTTAACTGAATTCAAATACAGTTTCATATTTTTCAATGAACAAAAATTCTCATTCATACAAAAATGTAATATCAAAGACACTAAAATATTACATTTCACTATAATTGTGTTTTTTTTTTCTAAGGAAATTGTGATCCAGAATCAAACTTAAATACTCAGAGTTTATAAACTAATATACTTTGTACTTGTTACAACTTTCTTTAATTATAAAAATTTAAATACTCAAATAATGTTATATCTAAGGTGACAGAAACATTCAGCAGAGCAAGGTCTGGTGGACCATGACAGCATTCAGATATTTCTAAAAACATCATTTATAAATTGTGTAACAAAGTATTTTTAATTTTTCTGCAAGGGTAACACAGTGAAGTATGATCTTCAATCACACAAATAAATCATATTCCATGATAGATAAGGACAGTTTTCCATTCCGAGAAATTATCCACTTTCTAACATCACATCTCAAGTATTACTCCAAATTTATTGATATTTCATCATTATGGTGCACTGCACCTGAACAGTATGTGTAATGATTAAATATTTAACATGAATGGAATGGCAGGTGTGAAAGACAATAATACAAAATGGATGATCATTAAGAAAAATAATTACAGAAAAGGGAATAAAAATTTAACATTTTCTCATAAAGACCTCATGAGGTCTATAAAATATTCTAGACTTTAGTCTCTCTTCACATAAAATGTATAGACTCTGCAAGATACATAACAGGTTATATGTATAACTACACAGTAAATAACTCCCAGTATGGTCACGTCATTCAAAACAACAACTTTTTTTTTTCCTACAATGTGTATGATACATACCTTCTTTCAAAATGAAGTTCAAAATTCATTGGTCTGGAATTCAAACTCACTGAACCTAAACTGAAAAACAGCTTACTCAAATAATTCTGTTTTGCATAATGGTTTCTTATTCATAAACAATATTCTTTTGAAATATATATTATTTCTTATAAAAAAAACATCTTCAAAACCTCATTTACATTTACCTCTAATATCAACAACAACCTATTGCAACACTAGATTTGTACTTAACAATTTAAACAGAAATAAAAAAATTCTGTATATGTATGTGTAAATTTCATTTATAGTTATCAGTGTTAAACACACAAGATTTTAAGTCCATATTCACATTCCATAAACCACCACTGTCCTTCGGTGCTTTACTTGTGAAATAAAGTGAAATTACAAAGGTGCTTAAGGACACAATTCAAGGATATCCATATTCTTAAGTTTTCACTGTTGGAACATCCATAACTGTTCTACTATCATGTTGTAATTACGTACTCACATTACTAGTGTGCGTTTTGCTATGGGCATTTAAATTGCCTCTATTAGCAAAACCTTTCCCACATGTTTCACAAGTGAAGGGTTTTTCACCAGTATGAACACTCATGTGTCGTTTCACAGTTGACTTCTGAGAAAAACACTTGCCACACATTTTACACGAAAAGGGTTTTTCACCTGTGTGAGTGCGCATATGAATTTTTGTACGCTCCTTGTCTGCAAAACGTTTCCCACAAACCTCGCATGGAAAGGGACGCTCTCCAGTGTGAGAACGTATGTGCCTTGTGAGTGAGGTTTTTTGAGAGAAATTATGACCACAAAGGTTACAGGTAAAAGGTTTTTCTCCGGTGTGTGAACGCATGTGCAACTGATAAACATTCTTTGATGCCAACCTCTTTCCACACAAATTGCACTGAAAAGGTTTTGCTGGATCACTAGAGAGAAGTGGATCTGAAGCCATATTACTGGACATGCTGCACGACTGTGAAGGATGCAAGCTACATGGCTTATTGATTCGACAGAGTTGGCAGTTCTTTTTGTCTAAAAGGTCTAACTTTCTTCCAGAGCTTGATCCACAACTAGAGGCCACATCTATGCAAGTTGTGGAGCTGATTCTTGAAGGTGCAGTGGCAGTGTGACTAAAACCAGCTGTCATCTGCTGAGAAGGCACAGTAGTGGCGTGTGTTAGAGTAGGAGAAATTTCTCCCTGGGGATTGGTACTATGTGGTATTGTGGACAAACGAGACAGTCCAGGGAGGTTACATGTATTCTGTAACATGGGAGAATGGGATGCAGAAAGGCTTTCTGAGGGAGAAGTGTCAGCATCATCAAATGGTTCTTCTTTCACAGACACTTCTTCTAAGTGACTTCCAGAATTGGAAAAGTTACTTTGGGCTGCAACAAATTCAGCAAGGTCTTGCTTTGACAAGGATGGCATACCCGAAACAACTGTAAATGGGGGCAAAGGTCCAGAACCACTTGTATTGTCAGTTGGTGACTCCTGTTTGAAAACAGAAATTAAACTTGGTAAAGTTGAAAGACCAGAGTATAACAAACCTCCAGCTGAAGTAACAGACTGAGAAGTGGTGGCTTCATGAGGTTCATGTTTCACAGATGTTCCACAAAGTGAGGTAGGGAGGATCCCAGATAACAAAAATGGTGGTACATATGGACTGGTTAATCCAGACTGCATTCCACGAATTAATGAAACACCGGTGGTGATTGGTATATTTGAAGAAACAGTTTTTGTCAGTGTCAAAGAGCCTGAACTCCCAGAAGATACAAGGTTAGACAACATATAAGATTGCGAGCCCAGACTAGAAAGTACAGATGGCAATTCTGATGTGGGTGTTGGAAAGTTTGTATTTATACTAGAAGGTTTACAAACTTCATCAGTTTCATCACCTTCAGAATTACTTCTATCAATAACTTCTGAAAAGTCTTGTTCTTCTAGAACAGAATCATTTTTAGATGCAGTAGAAAGCAAGTTAACATCTTCTGCATGTGCAATTAATAAAGAAGGATGCTCTTGAATGTTTGAAGGTAAGTCTGGTGCTTTAGCAGAGCTGGAATTACTTGATCCAACTGTAGTGATTACACCAGTAGGCACACCCAAAATTGGCCGGGAAGAAACTAACCTGTTTGAAAAAGTAGACATGTTCATTTGGCAAGTATTTTTTACAGGAGGCTGTGATGAAATGTGTGAAGTAACCATTCTTAAAGTAGTGTTCCCTAGATCTAATGGTGTCAGCAAAGGATTAGTTGATGGGACAACAATTGGATGACCATCTTCTCCAAACAGTAAAGGCCCTCTGTGATCCATTTGGGGAAATTTATTAACAGAGGTTGGTATGCTTCCACCAATGTCTTTGGTGTTAGTCATGTTTCCACTATGGATCTTTGAAAAGTCAGGTATTGATGTAATGACTGGTGCTACACGTGGTGTGGCATGAGATGTAGGTCCTGCTTCACATAAAGAAGTACACTGAAGTGAATCAACTGAATCCCCCAAAAAAGTCCCTTCACTTTCCGTTTTATTAGATGCCAAGGAGATAGGATATACCAAAGTATTTGCTTCAGGTCTATTGACTGTTGAAAGACATACTACTTCTGAATGATGAGGATCATGGCTATAAGACAGGTCTGCAAAAGGGACAAAGTGAGAAGAATCAAAAGGCATTTTAAAACCTTCTTTAACTAATGAAGCTAAGCGTGATTGCATAATTGTTGAAACAGGGGGTAATCTCTGTAGTTTAGTACCATTTGAATAAACTGGTTCCCCAAGTACTTCATGTATTTCATGTGAACAAGACGGTTGATAGCTGTTTAGGGTTAATGGCTCATCTGCAGCAAGATGAACACTGTTTCTCTGAGGTGCTCTGCTGGATGGAGAAATGATATGAGAATCCTGAAGCTGCATAGCACCTGCTCTAAATAAATCTCTGTCATGTTCATCTTCTGACCCAGTGCTATCAGATGGAACTATTAAAGACAAAGGCCCTTCTTTCCGAAGCCCACTATGTTCCACTAAGTGCTCCTTCAATTTTGTATTGTGGGATATATGAGATAAGTCACTTGGCTCTATATCTTTCTGCAAAAGTAGAGGGGAATTAGGTGACTTACATGGCTTCTTTACACCACAAGCACTAATTGGACTATCTTGAAACTTATATGGGACAGAGGTGTTACAAACATGGGATGACAGGACAGTTCTCCTTTCTACTGTTGTTAGGGGACTATGAGCATCTCTGTTATTTCCAAATTTAGACTCTTTTTGTTCATTTTTAGCTGCAGGTACTTGGTTAAAATTGGCCTGGGTGTCTAAAATGATGCTTTCCTGGGCACTTGATGTACTCTGTGACACATGTTGGTTTAATTTGGAGCCATCATCACATGAAGTATATAAGGCAGAAGAAGCTGATATTTCTGAGGACCCATCACTACCACTGGAGGCAGTGGTCATCACAGAAGAATGGGCATTCTCTGTCATCATTATATTCCATTTACCATTTCACTCAAATGGGTGCAAGTCCATTCTAAGTTACAGAAGTCCATTTCTCTCCTAAAAAATTACAAGGAAATTTAATCCAATTTATATTTAAAAATAATTCTATATGCATTCATTATTTCTGTCCAAGTTATGTTTCATATTAGTGTCAAAACAACTGGAGTGGCATCTTTATTTCAAATCTTACACTCATAAATAATTTTAAAATCACTGCTTATTATGACCCTTATATAAGGGACAGTTAACAGTATATGCACAAAATATTACCATCCTTTATTATAAAAGTAGAAACTTCAATTTCACAACTGCCTGCAGTTACTATAGTTTTAAATCTAGAAATGTAACCTAACCACAGTTCACTAGATTCTAAACTACTGATTTTAATAAACATGAACTACTTTTACAGTGTTTTTCAACCTTGTAAAAACATGTCAATATTTACACTTGATTGGAAACTTCAAAAAAATAAAATTAGTTTCTCATTGTCCATAACACAAAATGGAGCTTATTTCTTGGTACATACTGTATTTTTTAGTGACTGTAAAATAATGTGCATGATAAATATACATCTTGTTTGTGTAACCTGTCTGTTATGTATATAAAAGAACCTTTTACTTAATATGCATCAATAAGAGCAGAACATTCTGCTACTAGTAAAAATTTCCAAGCCTTCACAAACAAATTTGGAATTATCACTATAGAATAAATCAATGGGTTGTGCATGAGTTTATAAGAAAAGTGACTCAAATATAACTAAATCCATTCCACCCAAAACGTTAGTACACATTTCTATACCCAATATGGAACTCTTCCACCCATGAATATTTCATTATTAGCTCTATCCTACACAACACACTTTCAATAGGATAAATATTACAAATAAATTTATATACCCTTGAGCCAACTAAGTGTATGTCACTTTAAATTAACAAGAAAGATTCTAATAATTAATAAATTAAAACAATGTATCTCCTGGTAGGTACAGAATGTAAAATAAATATTAACTAATTGTGAATAAAAATCATTACAAGTAATCCGAGTTGAATTCCAGGAGATTATTTATCATCTAAACTGCATATGTTGTTATTAAGTCTGAATGGTTAAATGTGACACATGAAAAGGTGTCTAGCAGCTAATAGTCAGTTAATGCTTAAATGAAAAACTACTTTTCTTTATGGTTTAATAATCCACTTAATAACAGGTCTTTAACACCAGTATTATTTTCATAATGTTTAGTTTAAACTTCCTAACAATGTATGAATAAAACTGCACAACACATTCTACAAAACGGTAAAAAATATCTGAATAGTAATCTCTTTACTAAAATAATAAGACAAAACAGAATATAAGTAAGTTTAACATATACAAGACTAAGTATTTGAAGAACAGTAATCTTCATATGAATCGAAGGTTACAAACAAACAATAAAAACATAACCAAAATTTTTTTTACGACGGGTTAGATTATGTTTAATTAACTGCAATCACATTTTTCATATTACAAATTGTTCAGAAAAAGTTCATATGGACTGGCCAGCAAATAATATGATGCCATGCAGTGCCAAAATCTCGTGTTAGGTTTTATTTAGAAAAAAAAAGCAAGTTAAGCAAATCACAGATTAATATATAATAAAGGAAGACTAACCGATTTAAAGACAATACAAATATTTATGTAATGGCTGATGAACCTGTTCAGCCATAAGGAAGACATAGAACAGTAACACAGAGAGTGAGGTTAAACTGAATGCCAACACACCTCAGGAGGTCCTAAGAGTGCATGGCAAATTTTATTTAGATCAATCTAGCCAATTACAAGTCAAAACACATAGACATGAATCAAATAGTTAAAGCATAATAACATGTATGGTTAACAGATAAAAGTTAATTTCCTTACCTGAAAACATGTCAGATACATACCTCTCTGCATTAGAAAGAACTATTACTTTAAGCTCATTGCTGTGTAAGTTCTTGCACATGTCACAAGCTTTGAACAAAAGCTCATTCTTGATAAAGCTAACCAAATGCAATGGAAGTGATGTAGAGAGGTTAGTATCTAGCTGAAATACATTTTCAGGTAAGGAAAATTTTCACTTCAGAAATGCTATTCATCTCTCTATACCACAAAGAGCTAGAATCTCACACTGAAGATGGTGAAGGGGGCCAGTGCAGAGAAATACAAAGATCAGGTCCTTTCTGAAAACAAAAGCCCAGGAAGTGTAACATCCATGCAATGATGGGTAACATTTGGTGGTAGACCACAAACGTCTCAAGCAGAGAATACTCTTCATACAATAGAGATGGTAGCAAAACATTGTCATAAGAATCTTTTGCTGGGTGCTAACATGTTGTTAAGGTGGGTGGAACTGCAGGATGCTTAACCATCTATTATTTCATAGGCGGACAGCTGAATACAAGTGTATAGTGTTGCTACAGCAATAAGTCAGGCTGTTCCATATTTAAGAAATACTTGCATACGGTACTCACCACAAAAATTAGGTGCAGGGAATAGCATCCCAAGACACATCCAGCTAGGCTCAACCCCCAGGAATGTCTTCGTTCCTAAAACAGTGTAATGTCCTGCATTACACTAGCAGGTAACACCCCAGCCCTACTTCCAAAATGACGAGGGGTGCATCCCTCGGTCTTGCACCAGTGGGATTGCACTGCGAAACGAGGAACTACCCATATCTACTTCCCCAACAACATGAAACTTGGGAAATAAAAGTTCTCCCATACTCTACCAGAAAAAATTAGGGGGGGGGAGAACACAAGAGAGAGATGTATGAACCATTATTATCATGCACAATCACCTTGAATTAGATCCCACCTTGTGAGACAAAACAGTGCAATGGGTTACAGCACATAAGCCAGGTTTGAGGGCAGGCATATACCTGGTGTTATTGTTTGTTTTTATTAACAAATGCAGATTGACCTGGTGTATATATATATAAACTCAATCTCAACAACAGGCACTGAGAAAGGGTGGATGACTTAGCATTTCCTGTACAACCCTGCTTGATGTGGATTTTGGATAAGTATTTCAAGTGAGGCAATACCAGCCACACGGTGGGTTCCATCATCTCTATAATGTAGAGATGTATATTGAAGAAAGAAGCTGTGAGACCAGAAAATAGAAAAATAACTTGCCATCAGAGCCACTATAAAGAGTGGACAATGGTGACTGGAGAGAGACAAAAGCCAGGGTTGGCAAAACCTCTATGTGGTGTAAGTAATGTGACACTAACGGAACTGGATACCAAATGAGGATTGGGAGGAGATGGAAAAGTTATGATAGGATGCTCATAGTTGAACAAACCCACTGAAAACACAAGAGGATGGGCAAAACACTTAGTGAGAAGGTTTCAGGCTGTCAGTTTTATAGGGCCAGATTCTTTAAAGTAGGTGTCAGTGACTTGTTGGCAAAAAATTCGAACAATAAATGGACAGCACACAATCCACTTGTTTTAAAATAATATATTCAAAACAAGTCAAACATAGGTAAAAAAACTCTTTACACTATAGGATATAACAATTGTATCTAAAACTAAATAATTTTCTTTTCTTGTCAAAAGTCCACATAGCCTAGTTGTTACTTTAGAACCCAACTGACAAGACAAATTTTTCTCTACTCTGTTTCTTACAATACAATCTGCAATAAATTCACTTATGTTACCTTGTGGGTTACACTTTCACTAACTTAACATTTTCTGACTTATCTTCCTTTCTGTATCTATATGTATTTATAGCACGCAGTCTAACTTCACTTTTACTTTCACTAAGTACTTTACTTCTGTATCTATGCGTATTTATAACACACAGTCTAACTTTTACTTTCACTAAATACTTTACTTCTGTATCTACGCGTATTTATAACACACTGTCAAACTTCACTTTTACTTTCACTAAATACTTTACTTCTGTATCTATGCGTATTTATAACACACAGTCAAACTTCACTTTTACTTTCACTAAATACTTTACTTCTGTATCTATGCGTATTTATAACACACAGTCTAACTTCACTTTTACTTTCACTAAGTACTTTACTTCTGTATCTATGCATATTTATAACACAGTCTAACTTCACTTTTACTTTCACTAAGTACTTTACTTCTGTATCTATGCGTATTTATAACACAGTCTAACTTCACTTTTACTTTCACTAAGTACTTTACTTCTGTATCTACGCATATTTATAACACAGTCTAACTTCACTTTTACTTTCACTAAGTACTTTACTTCTGTATCTATGCGTATTTATAACACACAGTCTAACTTCACTTTTACTTTCACTAAATACTTTACTTCTGTATCTATGCGTATTATTTATAACACAG